ATGCAACAATGATGGTCAATGTGGTTGTGTGGTGTAATGATAAACCCAATATCTAAATTAATCGGGAAATAGAGAAATATAAGAGAATCAGAAAAATAACTCCACCGCACATAAAATATCACGGGTAAGGGATGAACAGAATCTACTAAATTTGTAGAACTGGAGTACCAGTTGGAGCAGCCTCACACAAATCCTAGTGCTCAATACACTTAAAGCTCTTTTATATGCAAAAGATATTGGCTCAATCAGAAAAAACCCTACAGGCACCAGATTTTGAGAGATGTGTGGCTTCAACTCACTACGGGTAAAAAGTAGATAGAAAAAGTGAGTAGGAAATCCCAAGTGTTAAAAACACATACACGAAGCGAGTCAGTCTTTACCTCCGCATCCAGACCTCAATGAAAATTTTCAATCTGTTTTTTTCCCATACAGTACCAACGATTGTTGTGGCATGGACTATAGAATTAAAAATGATATCGGCCCCATCTCCCATAACCATTCAATCTCTCACTTAGCATTTATGACCAGCTTAAGGCTGTTATTATTGATTCTAATGCTTTTAGGTAATTTAGATTTCATTTTGTGAGGTTAAGATTGAAAAGGAGAAAAAGGAGAGAAAAAACTGACCATCTCTTAACTCAAAGCTTTGTGATAATTATGGTTTTAAAAAACAATCTGGAAATGGAACTATTCTAATCAATGGTTTTTAGATCGATGGTTCGACCATCCGATTCGAATAGACAGTTCATTCTGATAAAAATTTAAAAAAAAATAAAAAAAAATGACCAAAAACCATCAAATGGGTCGATTTATCGACGGTTCAACCACTTGGATTAACGAATCGTTAACTGATTCAACAGTTTTTTGCCAGGAACTGGACTTGGAATAAAACAGAGCCGATTGCCTAAACAACACCCAGGCTAAACAGTCCAACCGTTCGAGTCAAAGGCGGTTCGAAAAGCATGATGATAACTAATCAACGAAAATTCATCAAAATTAAAGGCCAACTGGCCTGGAATTGATGAAAGATGGATGAATATCATTGGAGATACAACAAAGTTTACATGTGGAAAAGTTACAGTAGTTCAGGTGCCCACCACTCTGCCACTTTCACCATCAAACGACCCACCATCAACCAACGCCATTACACCAACACCAACACCAACCCATCACTACATGACCCTATTCGGTGGGCCCATTAAGCAGATGTAATGAATACCATTAACAATCCAAATACCCAACCCACCAAATCAATTGATGCACGTCCCAATTCATCTGCGACTCACCCCATTATAACCCAATGTGTAAATTGTTAAAATCTTTCCTAAGTTTGATACTTTCCCTTAACTTTTCGACACAGTTAGTTATAAGTAGACCCCAGAATCATTTAATAACACATTATTCTAAGCCCTTCCAAATCTAATCTTTTTTTTAAAATTGATTTTTTTTCAAATCTGTTTTTCATATCAATCACTCTAAGGTAAAATTGTAATTTTAAATTCTGTTTTTTTTTTTGTTGTTTGTTCATAAAGTTTGTATTTTTTTACTGTAGAAACTAGTCTCAATAGTAATTGCATAGGTATTATTGATATCTCCGTGTCTCGTGTCTCGTGTTAAAAGACTTTAACAAAAGGAATCTAATTACAGTTATGTTAGAAAATTCAGGGAAGATAATTGCAATTACCAAACTTTGGGAGGCTTCAATAATTTACCCTAACCCAAATTCTGCAAGGAAACCAAAATTCTATGTTGCCACTAAATACCCAATCTCTTTGAAATAAGTCTTATGGAATGGGATATAGATATATCCAGTGGCAGAGCCAGGATTTTTTTTTTTTTTCTTTTTCTTTGGGGGGAGGGGGCAAGAGAATGAGAGATGAGGGAGAATGAAAATTGGAGACTAGATGAAATTTTCTATGTGCCTATGAGATGTATTCTCCAACTAAAATTCAACCAAAAAGTTCGGTTTGAAGTTTCTCTTAAGGTTAAAGTTAAAAAAAAAAAAAAAAAAAAACATGAATCCTATTTAACTTCAGGCTATGTTAAGATTGAGGCAATGTCCAATCCGACCCTGGATAAAGTAAATAAGTCATTCTATTTCAAATCCAACCTGAAAATCCATTTTAAACAGATTTGATTAATATACAAAAAAAAAATAATGGATTATGTTAAAGTTAAAATTAAGATTTCAAGAAATCAAATTGAGTCATGATTGAGATAAATAAGCATTAATGTGACTTTGCCTACCCAATAACATTTCCTCTGAAAATCTTATTGATCAACTTTCCCCTTCTCAAAAGCCAAAAATAGAATGGCCCCTTAAAGGTATAGGGATGGAAAAAGTTTTGGGGGGCCAAGGACCTTCCCCCCACCCAATAACTTGGCTCTGCCCCTGGATAGATCCAATTTTGACTGGTTAATATATGGATAGGAATTGAATGAGATGTAGCTAGATCCAAATCCGGATCTGCTCCTCATGCAGTGCTTCTCGCGCCAATCTGGGAATTTTTCCCATACTTTTATATTATTATTCATGGGAGATATTCTCAATGCACAATAGGATGTACCTGCAAGATCGGTATGAGGTGCACTCTGTGAAGAGCAGATCCTAATTCGCTAATTCCGATTTGGATTCAAGTTGAATCCGGATATCAATGCCATTAATAAATTAAACTGAAAATGATTAAAAAACTTTTTTACTATTAAAAAATAAATAAAATGTAACTTTATGAAAAATATGAACCTACAATTCTTTGGGAGACAAAACATTACACTCAAACGATCAGATTCAAATTCAACCTATTAAATAGATCAAATAAATGTCACCCTTAACAAGCCTGGACTCAAATTCAAACAATTGTATATAATTTGCAGCCATATATGTAAAAGGAGTTCACCACTCTCATTTACAATTAAGGTTCAATGTAGACGAAAAAACAGTAGGTTAGGATCTCTATCCAGTGATCCGAACTAGGTGACATGACCCAAAAAGATATTGGGTCGGATTGGGTTGGGTTGGGTCATGAATCACTACTGGATCACCTATTTTCCATGGCTTTTAAAATTAGACCGGACCAGACGGTCAGACCGGATAAACCGGGAATCAGTCAGGTGATCAGTTCTGTTTTTTTCTCAAAATCGGATATTTGCAAAAAAAACGTTGATTTGGTCAGCAAATCGCTGACCCAGGCGGTTGAATCATTTGAACCGTTCGACGGTTTTGACCATTATCTTATTTTTTTTATTTTTTTGTCAGAACAGGCCAATTGTTCGGTTCGAACGGTTGAACCATTTGACCCAAGAACCGGACCCCTGACCAGTATTTTCAAACTGGCATTGACCCGGATGGTTGAACTGTTCGAACTGTTATGGTTATACCTAATAGCCAATATATTTTAATAAAAAACCGTTGATTTAATCAAAAACTAACTGATCCGGGTTGTTGAACCATTGACCCATCTGACCCATGGATCAATCCTAACATGAATATTTAGGGTTAGATCTAGCCTTTACTGACCCATCCCAAAACTTAATCCTCTTTGAAATAACCCAAAATCACTTGGCCCAACCTGACCTGATCCAACCCGTTGCCAGATCTAGTCCAAAGTATTGCAACTTATCATAAAAAATGTATTGTTTTTGAACCGGATAATACACCAAAATACTAAAGATTAGGGCCATCTGTCAAGTTGTTCATCGATACCTTGGACCTTGTTCACAATTGGCACTTGGGTCTTGGTGTCGACAACATTGTAGTGTGCAATCGGTATTATTCAAAATTCAAAGGAATCATGAAGGCTCCACTGAAAAACACAAAGCCAACTTGGTGGTGAACGGCTTGTGCAAGGCACGGCCCTGCCCAGCCCACAAATATAAATGCATGGACCACGTATTTATATATACTATGTATATAAATTTTTATTTTCAATTGTATTATACTATTTTATTTTAATGTCTCTAATATTTTTACATCATCGTTGACTCAGGAAATCAAACCGATCAATCCATCATTCGATATCAATTTTGGTTCGGATTGACCCCAAAACCTAGGAATTGGTAAAAACCGTGACTTGATCAAAGGACCAATTGACCTAGGTGGCTGAACTGTGAACCTTTTTGAGTTTTGACCCAAACAATGGGTCACGGATCACATGAGTCTATGTATATTTTATTTTTTAGGTTTTAATGTCTTAAATTTTTAATACTATCTATGCACTCGTGTCCAGAGATTATGTATTTATTAAAGTATTATTTTCTGTATAATTATATATAATCATATTTTCTGCTTAGGGTCAGTTAGGAAGGAGTACAAATGCAAATATGTAGAGTACAAAATCATGTATTTTGTGTTATTTTATATGTATTTGCACTGTACATATTTGTATTTGTATGACCACAACTCTGCCAATAAAAACTTCCAAACTAATCATTTTCTTTATTTTTTCTGTTTTTTATCAAACTAATCGTCCTCTTTTTTCAGCTGTGTTGTTATTCAGGAGTTCTAAATGGGAGGTTCAAAATATCAATACGGAATACGGAATGTTTTGTCTAACAATTTACAGACCTGGATGATCCTGAAAACCGATACCTGTCGCATGATAATCATCAATAAGCTGTGATACTCTTCAAGTCTTTGACTACCGAACACCACACATTATCTCTGAATTGAAATTTGAACATCTACAACAGTATTATGGCCTTTGTTAGGAGTTAAGACAATCAGTTAGGCCCAAGTCAGCAAGCCCTTACAGAAGCGTCACTGCAAGTCTGTAACCCTCGAATATTGTTGTAGAAAATCAAGGCACTCGGTAGTTTAACAATGGATAAGTATAAGACCCCCTCTTGGTATAGTGGAATAGTGGGCCAACTGGGTCAAGGCCTTCGACAATAAAGAATTGATATTTCAATTATCCAATCAGATTTAATATTATTAATATGTAAGCGTTAATAATAAAAGAAGAAAAAAATATAAACTTCAAGAAAAAGAGAACCAAAGAAAGGAAGAGCAACACAGTCAAGGTCCACTAGTGCATCATGAACTACTCGCCATATCTAAAAGGGGCTCCTGCTGCATTCTTTATTAACTTACATCAACCAGCAGCTTCAATTACAGCTCCAACCCACAACAAAAAGCAAGGAAAACTAAAATTACAATTGCAAAGGCAGCAGGCAAGCACATACTATACAACCTACTGCGTCAGCCTGTAGACATCCATATAGCCTTCCATGCAGATGCCAACGCACTCCAATGAATTCCAATACGACACAGCTTCCACCTTCACACAACAATTATAATTTAAAAAAAGACAAATGGAAGGAGCAAGAGTGTCGAATCCCAGTCAGCCCCCGCCCGATATGCCCACTATTGCAGCATCCTAACTGCTTTGTGCAGTTGAAACCACCGTCCCTGCTGTTTTTACATCCTCAGATTTAACTCCAGCACCCACAGATGCAGCAACAGCAGAGCCACCCTTCTCTGTTATCAGGTCTTCTTTACCACTTTCTTCCAACCTAACAGCTTGAGCAAAGCTCTTGGACATCTGTTTTATGAAGTCACTAGATAGTGAGACTGGATTCCGGTGCTCATTGCCACCACCAACAGGGACAGTCATCAAGCTGGCTTGCTGTTTCTTCCTTTCCTGCATGGCTTTCTGCCGGTCCTCGTAAAAATCGAAATCATCTAAGATGGAAACATCAGTTTCATAATTCTTGAAAATGTTCAACATTTCAATTCCTTGTTCCAATTTGACCTGCAAAAAATACTGGTATTAGATAAGAAAAGAAACTAAGGTCGACAGGAAAACCCACATGGGCACTACATCAAAAGCAAACAAATAAAACACAACCAACAGTATATCATGCATACATAAGCCTCGGAAATGAGGCTTACAATAAGTGCTCAGAGGTGAAGAATGAGGATCTATTCCCACGGAAAAACAAAGGGTTTTAAGCTTCCTGTGAGAAGCCAAATCTTGTATTCTGAATTTGGTATTATGCTGGACTCTTATGCCAGGGCAGTAAAATAGTTTTTTTGGGATTCTTCTCTTCAAATAGAACACTTTTTTTCTTTTTTCTTTTTTTTTAGGGGGAGGAGGGGGGGAATTCATACACTGGAAACTAGGAGAATTCAATTGGTTTAATTCCAAGGTTATGCCCATCACATGGGTGGAAAAGATTGGCTGCCTATGTACGACAGCCTGTGCTGGTCCACAGGGTCCTCCCTGCTTGACTCATTAGTCCATATACTTCCCATCCAAAACCTATACATACAGGGAAAATGGATTTGTCAATGTGAGAGGAGACCCAATGAACTTCCCTGACTTGAACACCAAGGCGACCCAAAAGAACCCTACTAATGATATTTATATGGTAAGTCATGCCACCAAGAATGAAAAGGTTTTAACAATGGCTACAATAAAAAACTAGATGTCACCATGATGCTTAATAATCTACTTTTAGAGTCTCACGTTAGCATCTGCTTTTAGCCACAGAAGCTCAAAGATACTGTTTCCAGCAAGAACAGTGGCAGCGAAGCAGACAAAGGTAACAACATTCAAAGAAACGACCATCAATGTTGACACAGGCTTGCTATCATTATAAGTATGAATCTGAAATGACCATGAAAAATATTTCAGTCCATTTCTACTCTGAGAATGTTGAGGTGAGAATTGAAATTCTACCTCTTGAGTGTCCCGGCTGTTTGTTACAGGCTTGTTATCATTGTTTTCAAGTATAATGTGACGAAACTGACTATTGGGAACATCCTTTATAATGTGCCACTTGACAGGGAACTGCCCACTCCATTTATCTTGCTGCCAATAATCAACACTTTTATCAAAATCTACAGGTCCCACCATCTCTGCTACCCCACAAAACTGTGCACTAGCATTCACCTGCATAATATAGAACACCAGATATCAGTAGAGGTGGAAATAATGATATACCAGCTTCATCTAATGTAATTATTTCCCACTTCATGTCAAAAAAAGCAATAGTATAATCTTCCCCCAGCCTTTTTTACCTTAGAAATGATGCAAGAGCATCCAAGGCCTATAAAACAGTAGAGGGCCTGACTAGAAAAGGACAGTAAGGCTTAAAGATAAAGTTTTTGTTAGAAAGCTATTTGTTCAATAACTTATTGAAATTTTGATATTAATTTTTTATAACTTGCTCATTTTTAAACCTTGAGATCTGGATGTTAAGAAGTATACCGAAAAGAAGAGAAAAACTGGGCAGGTCCCTTGTTTCTCCTTAGCTTCACGATAAGCAGCATCCAATTTTCTGTTACCATTTGGTGTGCTGGCCCAGACACGGTATTTAATACTCTTGTGAACATTATCTTCACTGTATGATTTTATTATGAAGAACTTGGCATCCTTGTACTCTGTAACAAAATCTGGGTGGTTATATGACTCGCCATGGGCATCAACAGTTAACAAACCACTTTTACTATTATCTGTAGATGATCCATGTTCGTTGGTTGTCTGGATTTTTGGCTTTGAGGCCCTTGGTCCACGGTTCTGCTCACTTAGAATATCAAGTGTGCCATTACAGCTACACAAAGAACCACTCCCTCTTCCTCGCCGTCTGCCCTTCTCAATTGCCAACCAGTTCCGACCATTTGTTTCCAAAGTGGAAATAGGTGCACTTCCAAAACCAGAAGCTTGATAAATACCACTATTTGGGTAACCTCTTGAGTATGAGCTAGCTCCAGATCCAAATGCATACAATGGTCTTTGTTGCTGAGGAGCCTGTCAAAGATCAAATGGTAAGCTAAATTTTTGCCCTCGAACCAAAATAACAATAACAATAACAATAATAACATTTTTATTAATATTGAGGTTTTTTTATGAATATTTTATTATTATTGAATGTTTGCATTTTGATCATTACTAATATTATTTTGAAAACTGAAAACACCAAGCCTAATTGGTTGTGTACATTCAAAAGGCAAGCAGTCTTTTCACTAGAAATGCTGTTCTGTAGTAATCATGGCAGTGGCTTTGCTGAGTCTGGATCTGGTCCCAACAGCCATTGCAGCTGTACATCGGGAACATCTCGCGATGAAGGACAAGGAAGATGTTCCCAATGCATGGCTGCAATGGCGGTTGGGACCAATTGTTGGGACTAGATCCAAACTCAGCTTTGCTCCCCATGCCATTTCTAATTAAGTACCTATAGATCTATGGAATCATTGTATTACAGACAATGCCATTGATCTTTGATGATCTAGAAGGAATAAAAAGCTATGTGACCCAAGTAATATGCTAATTTACAATCAGTTTCTTCTTTGCTTAAAGTACCAACTGAAGCTGTCGGAGGATATAGATAAAGCTCCTGACAAGTATCATGGCATGGCATCCTACATCCAGGATGTAAATGTAGCACACTGCAGGAATTCTAAATAATGGATTCATAATAGTTCTCAAACTAACTCATCAAAAAATAGTTCTCAAACTCACCAGCAATGGTGCATGCTTCAAAGAAAAAATTGTAAGCAATATTTTTAGATAACAATGACCCCAATTATGGAGATCTTCATAAGAAGCAACCCTATAATTTCAGAATCACATTCTCATTTACATGTAGAAAAAAGGACTAGAGACAAACCATTGCATGCTTCAAAGAGAAAAATTGTAAGTAATATTTTTCGATAACAATGACCCAAATTATGGTCTTCAAAAGAAGCAACCCTATAATTTCAGAATTACATTCTCATTTACATGTAGAAAAAACGACTAGAGACAAACCATTCCAATACTGTGCCCAAATGAACCCAGTGTGCCACCAATTGGTTGTGGAGAAGCTGCAGGTGAGGACAATGGAGAAAAAGACCTCTGTCCATCTGAGGATTTTGACCAATCTGACCATGGTCCACTGGAACCAAAACCATCAAAACCCTGCCGCAGATCATAGAAACCAGGAGTGCCGGAATTTCCACCGAAGCTGCCTCCTCTACCAAAAGATCCAAATGGAGAGGGGTAGCCAGGTCTAGGCCCAAAAAGCATGCCATCACCTTGCTGGTCAATGTTAACTGGTACTGTTAGGTCATTTTGGGAGGCTGGAGTTGGTGAAGTAATATATGGCATGCTAGGAGGAACCGGCTGTTGATAATATGGTGGACCTGAGAACGAGAATTGCTGGGGGGAATAAAGCTGGCCATCACCCCTAACAGAAGGCAGAGGTGTTGTAACTGGGGAATATGGCCCATATGGCATTTGAGGACTGTATCCATAACCAGTATGAAACACAACAGATGGACTGTCATTGTAGATGCCCTAAAAAAAAAATTGAAACATGAAACATTTGGTGAGATTTATCAGGAAAGGATCGTATGGACTATGGAGAAGGAAAGGTGATGGATTGCACTTACAGGTGATCCAATTTCCAAGCCTTCAGCATTAACATATGGAGGATATTCATCCCCCCATTCACCGGTAATATTGTCATAACCTGTAATTACAAATCAAGAAAATATTAATATCCTGTTTGAGACAATAAACCTAAAATATCACAATCAATGATGGAATTCTATATTCACCAATCCATAAAACACACACACAGGCACACCAAAAAAAACACTACAGTTGCCATTGCCCATGTAATGTGACCCATCTAAGGTACCCTACAAGCTTAAATCAACTAAGCCATTGTTTTCTAGGGTGTCATTTAGTTGCCAAGAAAACATAAGCTAAATAAAAAAAAAATGAAATTTCACTTTCTGCAGTTTGTTTGATTAACAAGGAAAAGTTAAGTCGGTTTTAAAGAATCAGCTAATTAATGGACCACACACACTCATTTATGAAATCTGCACTCAACTTTTGTTCCCATTTAGATAGCTTCATAATGAATAATTATTAACTGTTTTTAAGGCAGTGTTTGGTTGCAATGCAAATAACTTTGCACTGATGCAAAACTATGGCAGTGCAAATGATTTGAATGTAAATTCTGACCTATTTTTGTTTCAAATTTTAGCTTATTTTGTTTGATTGAAGTACAAATGAAGTAAATTAAGATATGAAGCAGAATAAAATAAAACCCAAAACAAAATTAAATGAGAATTTGCATTTTTCCACTTGCACTCCCATGCATTTGTACTAGTGCAAATAAAATTGCACTTCTACCAAACACAGCCAAAAGGACATTCTTGGAATCAAGAAAATCCTGTTGTGGGCCCACCAAGTTCCTTAGGCTAAAGTACTAAATGAATGCATCTCTCATGGGGGGCCTAGATCATCAGTTTATCACCATAACATTTTCATTTCTATGCTGTCTAATACACATCATTGCTCAGTTACAATCACCCTAACAGGTGATAATTTTTATTTTTATTTTGTTTTAATCTGTAGTATCTCCTTTACCTGATCTGTTGATAATGTGAAAATATCAAATATCTAAATAAAAAAGGAACCACATCAAAACATATGCATACAAAAAAAAAAGAGGATTCTGCTGTGGGCATGATGTCATTCATGGGCCCCATTGTAGAAGTTAAATGTACAAAGTTTCTATATGATGCAGTGTATTAGACCAACCTGCATGTTTTGGCTGGCAAAAATTTGCAAAGTCTTCTATTTTAGAATTTTAGAAGAATATAAAATTTGCTTTTAGCGTGCATGGATCTCTTAGAGGGTGTTTGGGTTTTTTTATGAATATTAGAGGGTGCTTTTAGCGTGCATGGTTAAATGTACAACAGCCATTTTTTTATCCATTGTCCTGTCTCAACAGCCTTGTGGGATCATTTTCTTTCTTCTGTGGAACTTTCCTGGGCCATGCCAAGTAAAGTAATGGATCTCTTAAGAAGCTGGGAGCTTCAAGGCCTCTCCAAGTTGGCAAAAAGTGTGGTTGTCTATTCCTGCAGCAGTGATCGGCACCATCTGGGCAGAAAGAAACAGAAGAATTTTTCAAAACAAGTCTAAGGATGTAGACAGTCTTTTATCTTGTAGTGTGGGGAAGTAAATGTGTCTTGGACTTCAGCTGTGAAAGGGTTCCAATCCAGATATCTTGGTGCACAGCTGAGGTCTAGAAGTTTGTTTGAGCTGTAATTTAGTTTTGGGCTTTGTTCTCTGTAATCTAGATCCGTTTTTGGAGCCCCTCTGTAATTTCTGTTGTTTTAATAAAATTACCTTACCTTTCTTCAAAAAAAAAAAATATTAGAGGTGCTTTTTTTTTGATAGATAGAGGGTGCTTGGTTTTGCTCATGTAGCAGTTGTTTTCATTTTGAAAACAAAAAACAAAAATCATACATATTAGCAAATACCCCCTCAGTTGCCAAGTTTGTTAGTCTTTGAGGTTATTTCCTATTTTGAATTTAATTAGCAATATATTTACTTGCCTTTAGTTATTTCCTATTTTGAATTTAGAATATCATAGAGAAATGTTGTTTCTTTGTATCTTAAAATCAATATATTTACTTCCCTTTAGTTAGGAATATGTTGTTTCTTTTGTAATAACTAATAAGAACATTCAACACCATTAATCTGTAAATAAGGTTGAAACTTTTGTAAGGGAATTAATAATGAAACTTTTGTAAGGGAATTAATAAGGCTGAAACATTTACAAGCAGCTTTTATTAATTATGAATGTTGAAAGAGTGCCATGTACAAAAGTGATAATCCCTCGTGTTAGGTTGGCCCCTAGCACAGAATCCCTTGTCTACTCTTCACAAACACCATTAATGGGTTTTTTTTTTTGATAATCAACAATAAATTCATTAAAGAACCAGCGCGCTCGAAAATAAGCAGCTGGAAAGATAGTACAAAGCTTGCTCCAAGGTTTGGAGCACAAATTACAATCCAACAAATGCAATAAAAAGCAAACAACAGTATTTATCAAAAAAAAGCAAACAGCAGCACTGCCAAACAAAAACAAACTCATGTAAAATTATTGCAGATTGAAACCCAGCCATGGACATCCACAATCTAACTGGTTTCTTCCCACCCCTACTCTTGCAAGTGAGTGCTACAACATTGGCACACCTGGACACCCAGTTGAACAATTCAAATTGGCACACCATTAATGGGTTATGCACCCCGCCCCCCCCCCAAAGAATGATTGCTCCTATTTACCTATTCCCTTGCTAAGGAATCAGCGACGCAGCCTTGTTGCTTGCTAGGTATTTCACCTCCCTTGCCATGTTTTTTCCTCTTTTGAATAAAGGTATAGATTTTTTTTGTTCAGCAACACAAAAAAAAAATTATTAATTACTTGAGCAGAAAGAGAGAAAATACAACAAGAGGTTGTGCTGATAACCCTTCACAACAACAAACCCATCACCCTATTATAATTGAGCCCAACACAATTGTTGTTTATGAACTCCTTGCTTAGATAATCCATCCATCAAGCCATTAGCAGATCTTTTTATCCATCTTATGGAATTGAATTAAACTGCAGAAACAAAACAAAATTACAACAACCCCATGAGTATCATGGGTCTGCACACTGTGGATATATAAAGCTACTGCCCATTGTTCACCTCATTTATACAAAGTGCATCTTTCTGAAGAAAATAAGAATAGGCTACTACAATGACTAAGAAAACAGCATGTATTGTATTTTCCTGACCATCATTTCCTCAGTTTGAGACGTATTTTTTTTAGCAAAGGTGAAGTGTAATTGTATTGATGTAAAAGGTCCTTTGTACAATGAGAAGCTGTACATACCAAAAGAGAATGACCTCAAAAAAAGGCCATCCTCAAAAAATTACAATCAGAAGTAACCTCTTTAAATTCAATATGTATAGACAACCAATTTCTAACAAAACCTAAAGCCAAATTGATGACTTCAGCTTCAGCTGAATTGAAAATACAATTTGAGATGTATTTTCAAAATCCCTAGTATCCCTCAGTCCAAGTTGCACGGAAGACAGCTAAGGGGGCAATATACACACAATATACCCTCTTTTTAATCCAACTGCCATTTCTTAAAAAAAAAAAAAAAAAGGCTTCAACAGACTCTGGACAATAATCCACCCCAAATACTCCTCTAACCCAGTCCCAAGCCATCATCTAATCTGCAATGCAAGAACAAATGGTTCAGTAATTCTTTGTCAGTCATTCTTCAAACAACCCAGCAGTCCTGGATTCCCCTTCCACTATTAAATTCCTTATATTTAGCATTTTACCCATCCTACAAGCAGCTTTGCCTCTTTTGTTTTGTGCATACTCCAGAAATTTTTGAAGGTGCAGCTCCTTCAAGCTAGAAAGTGTTGACTATATAGGTGCTGAGTCTGCTTACTCCTAGGTTATTATATCCTTTCTATTCTTTTCTATGGATATATTTTAGATCTGATTTGCATTGTCCCTACAAATAAATATACATTTCAGCATTGTGATCATTGTCCTACAGATGTCACCAAGTGATGCATAAAAACACAATTTTCTAGATTCCATACAGATCATTGCTGCAATAAAAACTAACCTCCATAGTAGAATGGCTGTGCCTGAGGAGCGTAGATATTGGATGGGTAGGCAGCAGTACAATCTCCAGCAGCAGCCAAAGATCCTGCCTGACCTGTGGCATCTCTTGGAGAACCTACGTTTGCTGCATCCTGAGAAGGATTAGAAGGCACCATCCTTTCTTCTTTAGTTGAATGGGGCTGATCATATATGAAAATCAAAATATTATGAAAAGCATCTTAACTAAGAAATGAAGTTAGCAGCATAACGGAAATGATACTTTACAGGGTCAAGTAAAATACCTGTTCCTTCAAGCTATCTGGATTGGCAGGKTTATCCTCTGCATTCAAGTTCAATATGCTCAACGACTCAGTAGAGTCTTGGAAAGCAGACATTGCAAAATCATTGATCAATCAAGGATTGTTAATGAACAGAAAATATACATATGACAAAGCAACAAATTTCTTGAATTAAAGGAGCCTCTTGTATGAACCACAAAAAAGAAAGAAAAAGAAGGTGCCAAGATGTTATTTAATATAAGAAGATATTTAGTATATCCATCATCCAACCAAACAACTGTCCTCAATAGACCATTATTTGGAGAAAACTAAAATGAGTCTAACCACCTTGACTGCTTTAGGTTTTAGCATATTTGTAAGTTCTAGAAACGAGGAAAATTTAGCATGCATTAGATTCACCAAGACCATCAACAGTATAATCAATGCAGTTAGGTGATAACTAGTTGTTTAACCTCTCCAGGATGCAATGATTAGTTGGTTCCTGGGTGCTAACTAGTAAATGAAACTAAAAAAGATATCTTCCAAAATTAAGATACCAATGTGATCTCATAAACAGGTTAATATAGCCAATAATTACGTAAGAAAAGAATGATATTGAACATTTAGTTTACAGCCTTCATTTTGCAAACAAATAAAAAGTTAGGCTAAATACCTGGGAGGTTTCCAATGGACAGGTGATAAGTGGTGGCAAGTGTCCATGGTTTGATGGATAATGGATGGGATGCTGGTTTATCTGCTAGAGCTACAGAAGTTTCTCCAAAAAAGACAACTCATGGTATTCTTTGGGAGGGGGATTCACCTTTAAAAGATCAATTTCCCACCTTGTTTACACCTTCTACTTGTAAAAGAGAACCTTTTGCAAAGTTTATTGTTTCATCTTCCTCTTCTATTGGGTTTGAATGAAATTTGGGTTTTAGAAGAGGCATTTGGACTCTGAACTTTCTAGTGTAATTAGCATGTTGCAAATAATAAGAGGGAATTTCTTGGGTCCTACCAAGCCAGATAATCATATTTGGCCTCTTAATTCCTCAGGATCTTTCTCTTGTACCTTCTTTTTCAGGGGGTTAAATCCCCCTGCCCTTACTTTGCAGCCTTTCCCTATGAGAGAGGTGTAGAGTAGTCTTATTCTTCCAAGAATTGGTGCTTCTTATTGGGAAGTGTTCCATGAGAAAATTAATACACTTGGTATGCTTCACAAAAGGAGGCCTAATTTCTTGCTTTGTCTCCTAACTGGTGTATTCTATGCAATACAAATTGTAAGACTCGCTATCCTTACTAATCCCGTATCCATTTGTTGCTTGTATTTTGGAATGGTTCCTTTTTTTTATTTGGGTGCAGGTGGAATCTCACTTTCAACATGAGTGATCTCTTTTGTTCATCAACTTTCTTGTGGCCTAAGAAACAGGAAAGAATTATGTCAAGATGCACTAGAGCAGCACTCATTTGAACTGTATAGAAGAAAGAAATGCAAGAATCTTTAAAGAGCAAGAGAGAATTAGGGGTGCACCTTGGGCTGGCCAGGCACATTCAAATTTTAACAAGAGCCCAACCTGAACCCACCCAGGTTGCACCCTAAGGAGAATTGAATGCATTACAATCAAGGTGGCTCAATGGATCAAATTTATGGCTACATTTTCAGCCTTCTCAATAGATGGCATGATAAGAAAATAGGGGGAAGTGACACAGGCATCTACCAAAAAATAATGCAACTTAAAGAAGATTGGTGGCACCAACAAGGGGATTCAAATTGCAAATTCAGTAGAAGAGTTTATTGACAGCATTACCTTTAAGGTTGCACATTGGTTAAAGACCTTGGAACTGTTCAAGGATTTCCCTTTTGATGATATTTTGAGGAATTGGACTGCAGCGGCATCTTCTTCATCATTTAAGCCCGTGACTTAGGAGAGTTGAACACCTCCAATAAGCCAAAGATATAAGCTAAACTTTGATGGAAGTTCCCTTGGCAATCCGGGTCCTTTAGGTATAGGTGGTGTGATAAGAAGTGGACAAGGAAAGATTGTGGCTTTATACTCTAGAGTCTAGACCAATAGGAAAGGGTAACTCCCTAAGGGCAAAAGTACTAGCCCTTCTTCAAGGGCTGAGATTGGCCAAGAATTTGGGCCTCCAACTGATTGAAGTAGAGGGGGATTCGTAGCCGGTGATTGAGTGGTTACGGACAGGTAGTATAGGAATGTGGGTTCATAGGCAAAGCATGAGGGAGATTAGAAGCCTTTCAAGAGAAGTTGGTTTACTGGTTAGATTGATTAGAACAGCAAATGGTTTGGCTGATTCTTTAGCCAAACAAGGGACAAACAGGGTGACTTGTTCTGGGCTAATTTGTAATAGTTTTTAATTTTGGGGATCGGATTCCCTACTTTTAGGGACTAGACCTGTGTATCTTGTACAAGTTTTAAGTTACCATTTCCTATCAAAAAAATGATAGCATGGGGGATCTGAGACATTGAGGAGTTGCAGATGATTTTAGGAACGAAGAGGATCACATCGCATTTTTTTCAGGTTCAAGAAATAGGGGACTCATTAAGAGCAGAACTAATGGTGGTTCTACAGGGTGTACAGTGGGCAAAAGAAATGCAATTGAGAAAATTAATCATTGATGGGGACTCTAACATGATGATTAGTTGGCTACTCAACAATGAGACAGCTTCATGGATTTAGAGAAATGAAACCAAGAAACTTGGATGGCTAACAAGGAATATGTTCATACCTCATACAGATTTAATGGGTACAAAGATCATTGAATGGCATGGCTGATGCTTTAGCAAAACAATAGGTGGGTCTAGAACATTTTTTTGGCACAATTGTAATAAAGTGTAGGGGGAGAGATGGTTATTTACTATTCTCTCTGAATGTTGAATGTAAAATCTATACATAACTAATGTTCATAATTAATTAATAAAGCTTATGGTTATTTATAAAAAACAAAAGTAGGCTAGATACAATAGGATGTGGAATCAGCTTTGTTTTCCAAAGAAAGAATACAGCCATGACTATTTGATACCCTTTGTTTGTCGCAACTCTTTACCAGCACAACCAATGAAAAGAAGAAAACTTAAAAGGACTCCACTATCTTCTTTTATTTTATGTCTTTTCCTTTTGTATATACCATTATTCAATCATATTCCATAACATATTTAAACCAACACCATGAATATAACAAAATACAAATATACTCCATGTCATTTCAAATAATTAGAAATATAAACAAACAAATAAAGCCTCAAGATGACTTTGTGGTTGATTACATCATCAACCTAGTCAATGCTTAATCATCCTAAGCGACCACATCATGCGTTATAAGCATCGACTGACTATTAGTGATGCAATAATCTGGCCCTCGATTGATTAGATGGTCCACTAGTTGACTTACAAGTTAATGCCTACTGTGTCAATGTCACATAGCCTATGCTATATCATACCAATCAAAATTGGCCGTAAGCAGAGGTGCAATAAAACTTTGTAGATCAAAGCTTCATTTTGATAGGTAGAATAAGTTCTATGAAGCCCAATAGAAGATGGACAACAGTTTGAAAAGCAAAAATTGGTATGCATCAATCTGATCTTATTTCATAGTTTCAGCCAGAGGCATAAGCAGATTATGTCATACAATCATAGATGCAGAGAAGCCTCAACAATCAGATGTAATGAAGAACATGCAAGCATCTAAAGAACTGATCTTCAACATTATGTATTAAAGATATCTAAGGGGTTTATAAAACACCAAAACAAGATATTTAATGACAGAGATCAAGAAATTCCATCACAGAAAGCATCATTATCAGAGTGGCTAATTGGGTTCTCGAGACAAGACTCATTCATCATTTCACATTTTTTCGTAGAAACACCTTTCACCTTAGATGATATAACAAGAGGTTCGCATTGGCCAGTGGATAGCAAAATATCTTCAGCTATCAATATCACTAGAAGAAGGTGGGAACCTCATGAATGAATTCTATTAAACTAAACTTTGATGGGTTTAGTAGGGGTAATCCTGGTCCCTCAGGTATTGGAGGTCTACACAAGGACTGGAACAGGACATCACTGCATTATATTCTAGCCCAATTGGAAAGAGCAGTTCAACAAAAGCAGAATTAACAGCAGCCCTATAAGGACTGAAACTGGCTAAAACTCTTAAATATAGGAACTTGGAAGTGGAAGGAGATTCTGAAGTGGTAGTCAAATGGTTAAGACAAATAGATTTAGTTCTGTGGCAGTACACAGGGACATGATTAAAGAGATTAAACCACTAAGAAGGACATCAACATTAAAAGTCAAATGGGAGCATAGATGAGCCAATGCAATGGCAAAACAGGAGGCCAACAGAGGATATTTCTTTTAGGAAAATCTTAATTTTTTTATTGATGAGAATATTTAAAATTTTATAAAGGCCATTGCCATGATTTTGGACTCATTGGTGTAACGTCTTCACCACTATGAACTGAGATTTCCCATATAGGTTCTTCTTCTGTTAGCTGTATATTTTCGATTATTGATCCCTATCACTCATTCACTAGAGTTCCTTAAATTGGAACCAAATGGCAATTTCCCCCATGTGTTATTGACTGATAAACCATGTGGCAATAGATGAGCAGAAGGAAAAGAAATAAACTTACGCTTATTCGTTCAACAAAAGAATTTAGAAATCCTTTCCACATTCAATTTCAGACACTACACATCTCAGATACCAGTAAAACCATGAAACTAGCCAGAATTCATAACATACTATCACTTGACCCAGGTTACCCAAAGAAACATTTAATTAAGGTGATTCCTGTTATAACTGCATCTAACACCCATTGTATGTCATGTCATGCATCAGGGTCTCCAAAAAGTAGTTAATGTAGCTTAGACTAAGCACAGCCTAGGATGTGCAAGCAATATAATGCTAAAACATCCATGGCATTTACATAAAGTACCAAGATTCTTCAGCTAGCCCACCACATATGGTTGGGATAAGGCTTGAATGATGATGAAGATGATTATTCAGATGTCTGACCAGCTCTGCTTGATAGTTTATAACAGCACATACTTCTAAAGTCTAAACTGTAGGGGAGGGAGAGAAAAATGACTTTGGGATACACTGTCCTTTCCTAACTTATAAAAGATAGAGGGGCACAAATTTTCGTCAAGGGAGAAAGTTTTTTCAGGCTTCCAAGTCTTTAGCCAGGATAACAAATAAAAAGAATAAATTTTACCTAACAAAGAAGCTTTTTCCTTATTATTTGATCCAAAAATCACTAAATAGAATCTGAGCTTTATTATCCTATAAACCCTAGTTCAGATCTCGATGCAGCATAAACAGCAAAGTCCCTAAAGGGCAGATCACAATGTGCCCCCACATAAATTCCCTCTTTTACAAGCATAATTAAACAAATAGATCAAGGGAGGGATAGAAAAAAGCATCAAAGTCACAACTTTCCGTTACCTCGGTTGCAAGCTACGAATTCTCGATACAACACAGTACAAATTCCATAAATGAAACCGCCTAATAGGGATTTTTCCCCAATTCATGAAACACAAGTCGTCTTTTGGCAAAAGAAGCCAAGCAAAACGACACAAACCTAGTCCGAATCTAATAAAGGTAAAACAAAATCGATAGGCGTCTCGTTTTATAATCTCATATAACAAGCAAAGCCGGCTCCAACAGCTAGTAAAATCCATCAAACACACAATATTACTCCGGAATTCCTGAATCCGATAAGGAATCAGTTCAGCCCCATCAAATCAAATCCAACAGCCAACTGGGTTCATAGAATCTTACATGAAAAGGATCTCTTTGATGCATCAGAAAGAGACAACAAAAAAAAAAGAAAACAGTTTGAGAAAACCCAAAAAAACACACACACACAACGATAAATTAATAACCAGGCACCAGAACCAAAAGACGAAAAAACTTTTATTTTCTTTCAATTACATACCAGCAGAGATGATTCGATCCGTCCCCTGTTGGGCTGTCGCCATTAATCAAAGATCTCGAACAAAAGCTGCTTAATCTGATACTCTTCTAATATATATAGGTCCCCGTTCTAAATCTTTTCGGGAACAAAGAAACAAAAAAAAAGAAAAGAAAGAAAGGAAGCAGTGAGAAAAGGGTACAGAACCCAGACCAGAGTCGCACGAGAGGAAACCTCAGTTTAGGTTAAGGGCAGCAACTATTACTTTTTGTTTATTTTTTTATTTTCTCCTTTTTTAAAAAGGAACTCTGGTTTTTTCCTTTTCCTTCGTAGGGTCGGTTTTATTTTATTTTTCAATTAATGCTGGAGTAAATTTAGTAAGATTGTGCTCACTGTTTCTCAACTTTCTAGACTTCTAGTCTCCAGAAAAACAATACAAACCAGTGGAAGCATACAAGGAAACTTACTAACAAGTTCCTCAACCTAAAAATATTTAAAAATAAAAATAAATTTTATTTATTCAAAAAAATAGATTATTAGTGCAGATTTTGATATTCTAATCTGATGGTTTGCAATTTGCTTTCGTTGAGATGCCAACGTAAAGGGTTTAACCCAAAGGGGATAGGGATTGGAATCCATTTGGTGCATCAGTGCAAGTTTTGAGCTGCGAATCTGATGGTTTGCAGTTCGCACTTTGCAGTCGATATGGTATGATTCGTTGAGATGCCAATCTAATGGTTTTTAACAACCCAATGGGGGTGTTTGTTATAAACCATAGGATTGGAATCCATTTGGTATATCGGTGCAATTTCTGAGATTCTAATCTGATGGTATGCAGTTCGCTATGGTTTTCAATGATTCGTTGGGATCGACCTGAGGACGGTTTCTTTTTCTACAATGAGAAACTCGGAACTCGGAAGGAAGTGATTGTGGTTTGTGGGTAAACTCGTGGAATATGAAAATATGAGAGTTCTTCGAACACGTGGCCACATGGCCTTGCCTCCCTCTTAGAAAAGGAAGTGATAGGCATTAAAGGGAAAATCTATGATGCCGAAAGACATGGTACCAAAACATCTTTGACCAATCAAAACCTATTCGTCACTTGAGTGCTTTGATTGGTCAAAGCTCGTCCGGTACATGTCTTTTCGGTATCATAGATTTTTATTCAAGTGGTTTTGAGTGTTGTGTTTTTTACTAAATTTTCATACGTTTATATTTCAATTTTCAATTTAATTTTGTTTATAAATGTAACTACTGGGACCCGTACAATGTATGGACTTTATTAAGCGAATCGACTCAAACCAATACCAATGTTTTTAACTCGTCATTGACTTAGCCTATTGAATCATTCAAACCATCACCCGATATTGATTCTGGGTCTGATTCTATTAAAACCCGCCCTTTGGTCAAAATTGTTGGTTTGGTCCAAAATTGCCCAACTCGAATGGTTCAACCGTTAACCTATTCAACGTAGTCACCAGGTTGCGGGTTGCACACTTAGGTTACATTTGGTTTGGAGGAAAAAGAAAGGAAAGGTAGGGAAACCCATACAAGGTTTGTAAAGGTTTCCCCACCTTTCCCTACTTTTTCCTTCAAACCAAACATAGCATTAATGTATATGCAAACTTTCAAAGGGTATAACTTTGCACTCCGATATCCAATGAAGGTGATTTTTTTTTGTGATTTGGGTAACTTTTCAAGATCTATGCATCCCAAGGAGCCATGGGTGCCTTGCCCTACTATTATTGCAAAAAAAAAAACTTTTATGGCTTTAAATCATAATTTTTAATATTTTTTAAATAAAAGAAATTAAAAACATAAATAAAATATATAAATATACATGTGTGTATGTATAAATATATATTTATTTAAATATATAGAGTGTTGACATGGAACAAAACAGTCTGACCCGTTCGACCTAAACAATTGAACTGGTGACCGTGACCTGGATGCAAAAGCAGGTCGATCTCTATGTCAATTTTTAAAAACATTGACTGATACAACTCAAATTAGCCAATTTTCAATAATGGTCGGTTAGTTTCAAGTTACCAACTCCCCAATTCGACCAAATCAGTTTAGTTGGCCAAACAATCTACAACTAAACTGCCAATGAATACTCCCAATTTTAACTAAATTAATAGTTTAATCTCCAATAAATAACAATAGTTTAATCTCCAATAATTATTAAAAATTTATAATGAAAATACATAATTAATATTTCAAAAATATTTAATTTTTTTAAATTATTTATATTTATATTCTTTTTTATCGAATAATATTAAATCTATTATAATTATTTTTGTGTTTTTGATAAATTTTTTTAAGTTATTACATAATTTCGTTATGTAATCTATTTTTTGTTTTTAAATAATGTCTAGAATATGATATAGTTATTAAAGTTTTTATATTTAAAATATTTAAAAATTAGTTATTTACAATATTATTTAGTTAATTTTCAATGGGAAATTTTCTTAAAGTACCCCTAAGGTTTAGGAAATTGACCAACTCTACCCTTATTGTTTACATATTGTCTTAAAGTACCCCTAAGTTTTCTAACAATTGACATTAAGTTAAGCACTAATGGAAAAAATGAAATATCAAATTCGCCCTTCACTATTCCTCAATTTTTCAAAATAAAACTAGATTGATAAAAATTTCAAGAACTATAATTTGCCTTTCACTATTCCCCCCAATCGACAATGTTAACACCTTCCCACACTGTACCTTGGTCCCCGAACCCATCAAATCTCTCTTCTCATTGAGTTACAAGTCACCAAGAAAAAATGTTTTTCTTGAAAAATCCGAGTTTTCCTAAATTTTCAATTTCTAAAAATTGAGGTGGCGACTCCATTCCATATTCCATCCTCCCTCTGGGTTAGTTAGCCACACACCCCAAATCCCCACTTATAAGATTTCATGCCAAAACACAATTTGTCTACGAAAATCGATAGTTGGATGGGTATAGGGTTTTGGACTAAAAGTAGGATTTGATGTAGTTAGTGGAATGCAAGTTCGAATGGAATCTTTAATTGGTGGTGGATGAGATCTCAAACTTCAGATAATAAATTTGATTTGAATGGGTATTTAAGGTTCTAAGTCAAATGGTTATGTCTGATTTGATGGTCATGGTGTAGGTAAGGTTCGATTAAGGTTGTCGTATCAATATTAAACAAGTTTAGTAGTGGGTTTTGAGGAGTCTAGGTTGATATTTGGGCTCTTTGTTTTGTTTTGTCTTAGATAGATCAAAATGGTTAGATTGAGTGTTTAGAGATGAGTTAGGGTCCAAGCATAGGATCAAACAAAAATTGGGTGCTAACATCAATGTATTTAGCAATTAATTAGAAAAGTACTCTCAATGATTAACTTTTCTGTTAAATAAAGAACTACAAGTTCCAAACAAATAGATAATACAATAGCAAATAGTGCAAAAGTTAGCAATCAAACAAATATAATATAAGCACAAATAACTATTTCAAAGTAAATAGCAATTAAAAGTAAATATAACAACGAAATAGATGAACTCCTATGAGGTTAGTAGTAATGTAGTTAAATGAAGAATAAGCAATAAGTGTAAGTAAATGGAAAATATAAATAGCAACTAAAGTCAATAGATAGAAATGTAAATAGTAGTTGCACCAAAAGTGTGTGTTGAGTTTAGTAGCTGTAAAGTATGGGCTAGCCACAAATAGGTAGTTGTGAGAAGGACCAGTTCTCAAGTATAATCAATTTGAGATTCAAGAAATTGGAGGACTACTACTAGAACCTCAAGAGCAGATTTAACTATTCTAAGTGAATGATATAGTTAAACAACAAATAGAACAATAAAAGTAGGCAACTATAAATGTAAAGCAGTTAAATATAAATGGCTACCAGTTGGTAAAAGTTAGTTAGCAATAAAATGCCCAAACTACTAAACCAATAAGTCAATGCAGTTAGTAATGCTAGTAAGGTTAGTAACACAATAGTTGCATGAAAAAATTTGTATTGTGGAGGTCAAGAGAAGATCAACTAATTAAAATGCACCGGCTACAAGATAATTAGATGTTCAAGCTTTTGTAATTATGTAAAGTGGTTAGTAATGTTAGTAGCAGAGTAACTACAAAAACTTGAAACAAAATAAAGAAAGATACGACAAATAAAACACAGAGATAAGGCATAGAAGATTTATAGAGGTTCAGTAGAAACCCCTGCCTGCATCCTTTACCTCAAGCCACCCTAAGGATTTTCATGAACCAATTGACGGGTGTCAACAAAAGTCTTAGAACTAGTAGGACTTTCGAGTGCCTACAATACCTTTACCAATAAGGCTTACAGGTGCTTGTAATACCTTAAACCAACAAGACTTGCAGGTGCCTGCAATACCTTACAATTGGACTTACGGTTGCCAATAAGATTTTGATGGTGTTTAAACTAAAACACATTCCTACACTCAAGTATAGTGATAAATAAAGCGCAAAGTAGCAAGATAAAATAAGCTTTTAGAATAGGCAAATCAAAACAATATGTAGTTCAAATCTATTCAATTACAAGAGTTAGTCTTAGGATGCTTAGATTTAAAAAGGGACTCACAATAGATAGGTGAGATTATCTACACACAAAGACTTCTTAACTTCTCCTACCTTTAAAATTATTGAAGTATAGAAATCTCTTCAAAGAATAAATAATCTTGCTAACATGCTCTCTATTGAAACAACTAAATACTATTTACATTAAGTCATTAACAACACAGATTGTTTCTTTTTTGCTTAAGTTATTTTTTTATTTAAGTTAATGGCCTCTGTTTATTGAGGTTTGGAGAGCAAGTTACTATTTTCTAGCAGTTGAATGGTTCTCCATTCTTAGTAATGATTCAAATTTGCTCCAATATGGTAGAAGACTTGCCAAAGATAGCAGTAGTCGTTTAAGCCTTGAATGGCCAAGTTTCTTCAAAGTAGGCAATTACTAAATTTTGGTAGTCATCTACTAGATGAAGGTCCTTGTTGCTTTAAGGTGGGGACATAATTAATGCTTTGGATAAAGCTTGCTTGATCTGCTCAAATTCCCTCTCATGCTTATTTGACCACTAGAAACTATTGGTTTTCTTGGTGAGCTTAAGGAGGGGAGAGGCTGCTGGTGCTAGACTTGGGATGAACCTTCTAAGATATAAAACCTTCCTCAAGGTCTTTAGCTGTGACTTAGCCCTAGGGGAAGGGATATGTGTGATCATTCTTGGTTTGACCCAAAAACCTAGCTTGGCCTAGCCCACAAATTTTCAGGCCCACGCTCATT